TATTAAAATTATAAATTTTAATATAAAGAGAAAATTTCAATTTTCACTATATTTTATTAGTAAATTTAGCTCTTGAGTCATTACTTTTGATCATTACTATATATATTTTAATTAAAAATTATTATTAATTTATTTATATCTTGTATTTATTTCTTTTATTATAAATATATTCTTTCTATTTTATACTTTTACTTTAGTTTGAATATTATTTAAATAATAAAATTATTATATTTATCTTGTTTATAGCTATTAATAAAATAATCTTATATTATTTATCTTATTATATTATTATTATTATTATTATTAATATTATTATTATTAATATTTAATTTATTTATAATATTTATAATAAAAGTTATATTAATTATACTAATATTAGATATAATATTAAATATAAATATAAGTTTTAATTACTAAAATAATTAATATAAGCTTTCAGTTTATTTAAAAGTTTGTCTAAAACTTTCTTAATTATAGAATTAAATATTTAATATTATTAATTAAATCTTAATATAAAATTATAAGCTTTATATATTGAAAATAATTCAAGAGTTATTATTTTTATTAATTTTTATTATATTGAATCAATATATTCTTAAAGTGATTCTTATAAAATTAGAAAAAAATTTCTTAATTTATTAGAATATAAATTTTTAATCATACTTATAAAATTAGTTATATTAATTCTTAATAATCTTGTATTTATACTTGGTAAATATCTATTTTATCAATTTTTAGATTTATAATTATTATTATTAATACTATTATTTAATTAAAAGATGTACTTGATAGAATATATTTTGTTATTTTAATATTAAAAATTATTGATGAGGTGAGTTAATAATATATTAAAGAAATTTATATTTTTTATAATAAAAAATATCTAATTTGAGTAATTTGTTTTATATCTTATTATATAGTATAGATATATGAGAGTTAAATAGAAGCTTATATAATTTTTAAAAGATAATTAAATTACAAGATTAATTTATAATTCAAAATTTAAAATTTTTAAAAAGAATGAATTAATTATTATTATAATTATTATAAATTTTTATTTGAAAATATAAAATTTTAATATTTAAAATTTATATTTTACTTATTTAATTTTGATATATAAATTTATTATCTTTTATAAATATATATAATTATAAGATTTTATATAATACTAGAAAATATAATTAGATATAAGAAATTAAATAACATATTAAAAATATTTAAGTATTATTTTAATTAAATTAATACTAAATATAAACTTTCTTTTATATAATCATATTCTTGAAAATGTGTAACTTTAAAAAGATTTTGATGTGTAGAAGTCAAATTTCCTGTGTTTTATAATATTTAAAACTGGAAAAAGGTATGATTATAGAGAGTATAATATATAGAAGGTAACTATATGGAAGAAAAACTCTGTTTGTAAAGAAATTATTTTATAAAAGCAAAATTCTTAATATTATATTTAATCTCTGAACAATTCAATATGAAATTATTTATAAGTAAATCATTTAAAAAATATAAAAATATAAAGATATGATTAATCTATAATACTCAAGATGAAATTATATAAAAGATTATTATATGAATGGTGAAAAAAATATCGATATGTGAAATCTTTCATTTGATTATTTTAAAGAGAGAGAGGAATTTTTATATGCAAACTATTATAAAAATAATAAAAAAATACGCGAAACAGATTAGTAACTGTTAATAAAAGAATATATACATATTTCAAATTAACAAGAATAAAAATAGCTGAGGAAGTTAAAAGAAAAAGAAAATTTGCAAAAGATAAAGCAACTGTAATCTGCTAAAAAACACAAGTTTCCGGACTTGACTGAACAAGTATAGCCATCTAACTATTAATTTATGAGTAAGTGACTGTTTCCTAAAGCTATTCAAAGAAATTGTATGCAAACTCTCATTTTATAATACTCATTAAAAAAATGGTTTAAAAATCCTAGTGTCCGGGAATTTACGGGAAAGAGATGCAGGAAAGTTTTTATTTTTAGTTATTATTATTATTCTTAGGCCTATTACCAAACAATTGTGAATGTTATCGGACTGCAAAATACGGTAAGCAGAGATTTCTCTTCACAAAATTGCTGAATTTTACTTCTAAATTAAGATTTTGTTTTGATAATTTTATTGTATATATACTATTACTATAGTACAGCATATCGTAACACATATTTCATAATGGAATACTGAGTTCTTAGCAAGTAACTTATAAATTAAATTATCGAATTTATTTTAGATAAAGTCAACAAATAAACCATAATTAGCAACTGCAATTTTTGTTTATACTATAAATAGTTTTGCTAATACTGGACAAATTTTCGAAATAAAATAGTTACGTACGTTAATAAATATTAAAATCATTTAAAAGCAATTTGGAATTTGCCATTGTCCATGATCGCCTGTACGTTTTTGATTAAAAATTAGTTTTTGTTGTTGAAGATTCATTACTAGAGGTGGCATTTGTTGAAAAGGCATTTGTTGTTGCTGTTGTTGTGAAGTTTGGGTCAATTGTTGTTGTGGTTGATACTCATTGCTATTATCATTATAGTATTGATGAGGAGTTGGTGCTATCGTCATCATAGGTTGACGCTGTTGCTGCTGCTGATGGAATAGCATATTCCCATGTTCTGGTTGTTGAGGGTTAATTTGCTGCAATGGAGTAATTTTTTGCGCGTTCATCATTACTTGCGGTGCTGTAGTTGCCATTTGTTGCTGATGCGGGAAATTCATGTAATGAGCTTGTTGCTGTTGCTGTTGTTGAGGTTGGTGTTGTTGGAGCCTTTCTGGAGTTGCACACGGGTGTTGAACTAAAAAAAGCGATTGGGGATGAGGATAAAGAATTGAAGGATTGGGAAGAATAGTATGGTGATTCTGTTGTAATATTTTATTATCGTGATTGTAATCGGCATTATAATTATACTTTAACGAAGTAGAAGATGAACCAAACAAATAATTTTCAATTTCTGCTTTACTCTTTTTCTTTTTTTGGTAAAAAAAATAATCTTCAGCACTCGTACCAATCATAGACGGCGGACAGAAAGGTTGACAGAGTAAAAGTGATGATGATGGACTGATGGGCTCTTGTTTGACTCTCATCAAAGACGATGACGATGAGGGTAAGAATGGAGAAGAGGATGGTTCAGCAGTGAGGTAGTTATTGTTGTGTGTGTGAGTAATGTTATTATCATTTGATGAATTATTATTATCATAATTGTCGGAGTGCATTGGAATTTGTCCGTTCATTTGTGGAAATGGATTCATGTTATTGTAATTTCCATCCGTGTAGCCATTATTTTTATCGTATTCATTCGTGTTATCATCGCGATGATTGTTCATCAAAATCACCTTTTGCGAATATTGATTTTGTAATGGAAATTCCTTAATCCCATCAGGTGTAAACGCATTAGATTCCATTATAGACATCGTGTCATTAACGATAGTAGAATTATTGATATTATCGACAGCGCAATCCATCGCCGTCATATCACAGGGATCAGCAATAATAGGGATAACAGGATTACATATATTATTAGGTTTGTTGTATTCGTTCAAGAGAGATTTTTCGGGAGTCGGCAAGAAATGGTTTATATCAAGCTTTGTAGGCAATGTCGGCATTATACTGTTGTTGTTATTGATAGTAGTCATATTTGATGATTCCGAAATTTCAGTTCTAGTTGCTGCCGTCGCCGCTTGATTCTAAATAGACGAGATGTGATTTTTTAGTTATTTTTATGAATGTAGTGTAGAAACAAATTCAATTTACATACTGCTTCATATATTTTGATTTCCTGAGCATATCGTTCTTTTGCAGCTTGTTGAACGTTTTTGTATGGCTAAAATTAAGTTATAAAGAGTATGAAATAATTCTATTGATTGAAATCTTCCGATAAATATTATCTACCTCTTTTTCCGTCTCGGATAATCCACGCCACATTTCTCCTAGCCGTTTTCTGATTTCAGTGTACTTCATGTCAGGGTTATCTCTTTTTACTTCTTCTCTATTATATTATTGAGTCAAATTAGATTTATCATGCCTCTACAATATAGTTTATCAAATTGCCAATAAATATAAGCGAGAAATCCATAATAATACAAAATACCTTTTGACGCGAGAAAATTCTATAAAAGCGTTTAATGGCCTTTTCGGAGCATTCGGATCTTTTGTCTTCTTTTGTCGTTTTGCGGCTGGTTTTTTTGATTCTTCTGCTGCTTCTTCACTTTTGCTGTTAGGCATAGTAGCTTGTGATCCTCCTGCTTCTGTAGTAGTGATTTTTGTAACGGTAGTGGCAACATTTTTTCTCTTTCTTGAATTTTTGGAAGGTGTTGAAACGGTTGTTATCGTTTCCGAATTTTGCAATTGTTGCGTACCAGAAAGGATTTCACTAGATGATGCATTTGTCTCCGGCTGTATCGCTGAGTCCTGGATTTCAGCTTGATTCGAAGCTTCTTTGTCTTTCCTTGAAGATGTCGACGATTTCGTTTGCTTTGCAGAAGGTTTTGATTTTTTTGTTGCAGTTGATGATTTCGAACTAGCTGTATTCCTTTTTTTTCGCGGCGTCGTAATCTTTTTTACATTTCCATCATCGCATTTTTGATTTTTTTGATCTTTTTGGGTGGTCACGTTTACTGTGGACGGAGGCTGCATAATCGATGGAGTTAGAGGAGTCAGAGAAGAATGTGCAGACGTTGACAACGAAGCAGACAAGATATTTGGTGACGGGTTCAAACACGTCGTCATTGCTGTTGCCGAAGTAGTATTATTTGATGGAGTGGAGGATACACATGACGACGTGGAAAATGATGTTGTGGATGCAAGCACTGGTTTGAATACCATTTTTTGATACTTTAGTTATGTAAAGCACCAGCTTATTAACCTAATTATTGATGCTGCTTCTTCTTTAGTTTGATGACTCTGGTGAGACAAAACAAAGAGAGAAGTGGTTGGTAATATTAAATAAAAAGAACGATTATTGAAATAAAAGAATTATAATTAGTTGTGAACAGGGAATGGTCATTTATTTAAAACTTATTTTTTCTCGGTGTTGCCACATACATTTTATTATTTATTAATCTTTATCAGCATAAACGTAAATATTTTAAAAGCACAGAACGATAACTGATTAATTGATGTGATTATTTCTTCGCATAAGTAACCGTTGCTGTTTGTTATTTTGATTTGGTCAGATTAACGAGTTTTGTAGTTTATATAATTTTGGTGATGCATGTATGTTTTCGATAGATGGATCGCGTTTGATCGGATGGATTGAATCGATCAACTATAGCTAGAAATAATTAGCTAAAGTCAACCAATTGATATACTATTGCTAAGTCTTCTTCCTCGTCGACATCGTGACATCCGTGTACTATCGAAAGTTGGCAATGTTATTATATCAAAAGTGCGAGCCAACCATAATGCAGCTTTTTTGTGCACCTCATCCACTAGATTTCGAATGCGTCTTCTTATGCGAGCTTGGCCCGTTTCATAGAGTTGCGTTTCTTGGCTGATGCTCTAGTGGCACGTGATATAAGCGCGGGCAGAGGCGGACAATACGGTTAATATTATTATCACCAAAATTTCATAGCAAACTGTGAGGTGAATACCATGTGCGAAAGGTTCGGACACCAAGATCAATGGCTGCAACTTGGATTTCTTCCGCTTGGTTTTCACGGATGGACTTTCCATATAAATGTCCAGTGTCCTAATTTTTTCTCATACATAAGCTTGAAATTCAATGTAATATCTTTATATCATTTAGCCAACCATGATTGACTTTTTGACATTCATAATGAAGTGATGGATTAGTCAAGCCCTTGTAACGTGGATGGTCCAGATTAATAGTAAGAAGAAACTTATTATATAATAACCAGAGATAAAAATAAAATGATTTCTAATAGTACTAAGTGTGAATAGTGATAGTTTACAAGTCATCTTATTTAGAAGTAAAATGAAATATATGATAAGAATATTGATTTTAGCTTTCTCAGTTTCTTGTAATGACTTCATCTATTGTCTGTATAGTACTTAAAATAGCATGATCAAGCATCTCATATAGAACTTTATTCACAAAAGTTTATTTCTTTATGTTATGAATTTTTAGCTAAAGTATTGTTACCATAGTAACATAAAATTCTCCAATTTCATAATCTTTCTTTGGTTATGCAAAATTTTATTTTTCTATCATTTTATAAATTATCATATAATTATCCTTATTTTTTTATAATTACATATATTTTCTTTTATTATATTATCCCTTATAATCATATTTTTATTTCACATATAATATCTTATTTCTTTTATTTGAGATCTATATTTTCAATTTATATATTATACATTTTTCATATACTTAATAGAATAGTATATTTGAAGATTCTTATAATTTTTGGTAAAATGATAAAATATTGATATTTGAAAGATCAATGAAATATTGATATTTGAAAGATTAATATTTTAAATATTAATATTTATAATATCAATATTTTGAATATTGACATTTCAATATTATATTAGTAAATTATAGTTCTTTATAATAACATGTATATTTAAATAGTATTAATTAGTAATACTATAATAATTTATATATTTGAAAAATATATAAAAGAATCTGTTATTCCAGCTTAAAATAAACAGTTTTGGATTGAATTGTTTGGAAAATATAATTAAAAAGCTTATTATTATAATAATAGTAATCTTTTTGAAAGATTTCTTTTCTAATTATACTAGTACTCTTTCTCTTACTTGATTTTATTCCTTTAACTATATAAAGTTATTGATTTTTGATATTATTTTAAGAATAAAAGATCTCTATTATAAATAAGTTATATTCTTTTTGTTTTATTTATTTATTATTTTTGAGAGTAAAAGATCTTTACTATAAATAAGCTATATCTTTTTAGTTATTTAGTTTTTCATTTACTTTAGTTTTATTTTTTTTAGTTATAATCTTCTTTAATTAATAGTAACTTTACTATTTAATTACTCAAGTCTTAAATTATATTGATTGATAGTGACTTTACTAATTGATTTTTATAGTTTTATTAATTTATATTTTACTTTTATAGATATTGGCATAAATCTTAAAAATCTTTATCAGTATTAAAAATATAATCTAATTTCTCTCTCTTTATTTATTATTTAATTCAGTCTTTTTCAATTCAATATTATTAAGATAAATTCAAGCAAAAATTCACTTATCAGATTCATTATAATAGTATTTAAAAAATATTACTTTATGAGTTCTATTATCTTATTAATAATTAATTACTATCATATAATAAACTTTTGATCAAAATTCTATTAGTATAAATTTTAATAAATAGAATTCTAATATTTAAATTAAAGTTATATAATATATTAATTATTCAAGTTTTTTTACTTAATAATAATTTAAGTTATTGAATTTTAATAAATATTTTTAAAATAATTATTTAATATTTTTATATAAATTATATATTTTTATTCTTAAAATCTTTTCTAAAAAAAATATTTTATACAAATAAATATTATTATTATATTAGTAAAAAATAATTTATTTAAATAAAGTTATTATTTAAGATAAAGTTATCTATTCTTGAATCTATTATAAAATTCTAAATAATTAAAATTCTAAAAGAATATTATTTAGAATATATAAAATATAAAGATATATATATTTAATATATATTATTATGATTTAGATAGAAATTTTATTTATTTAGAATATTATTATTTGGAATATTTTATTAATTCTATAAAAAATATAATATATAATTTAATTAATTTCTAAAAAAATTTAGTTAAAATAAGTATATACTTTAAAAGATTTTAAATTTTAATTAATAAATTATTAATAAATTATAAAAATTTTATCAATAAATCTTATTAGCTTACTCTTTTAAAATAAAATATTTTTAAAGTTTAGAGATATAAATTATAAAATTACTTACTTTTTAATTATTAATATTAAAAATTAAAATTATTAAAAATATATAAATTATTATAATTTTATATTCTTCTCTTATTTTTCTTATTTAAATAATCAAATTATATTAAAACTTTTTATTTATTCTTTTAAATTTTATAAATATTTTAATACTTTAAATTATTAAATTAGTAATTATATTTTATATATAATTTATAATTTAAAATAACTTAATTGTAACAATTTTGATTGGATTATCTTCCTTTAGATCTCTTTTAGTTTAGATCTTCATTTTGCGCTATCTGTATAA